GAGAATTCTAAGAAATGGCATCACAGCTAACTCCACCCAAGAGGAGGCAGGGCAGTGACTAGGGTGGAACCCTCAGCAGGCACCCCGGCTCTCCACACTGATTCACTGCACTGGACCTTGGGATTCAGCAGCTGCTCCACACACATCACAACCACCAGCAACTTGTCTGGTGGGGAAAGACAGAAGGAGAGGGGCACGTGAACACAGGAGAGCACACACACTTTCTCCCAGCTACGGGGCTCACAAACCAATGGCCAGCTCTGCTCAGCAGCCCCCACGCCACAGTGGACCACAGAGACGGCCATGGCCCTGAACACCAGGGTTGAAGAACAGAGTATGTGTTCTGCCTAATGGCACAGCAGCATCCAGAGAAGGAGCCCAGGCCACCAGTACCAGGCTGCTCTCATACTGCCCAGGGACAGCAGGGACCGATCACCTCTCAGGAAGGAAGATGACAGGTGCTGCCCACCCAGGTTCCTACCTGGTGTGCACAGTATACACAAAAGCTGGCCACACTGCCCAGCAAGGCAGTAGGCCCCTCCAGGGTACACAGAGTACCCTGGCCACTATAGTACACAGATGCCTTGGCCAGCTGGAAGCACTGCACCTAAATGGTATCTGAAAACCCAGGGTGGCCCTGGTGCCATAGCCTATTAGCTAAAGTGCTCGCCTTGCACACACCAAGACCCCATATGGACACAAGTTCTAATCCAGACTATTCCGTTTTCCATCCAGCTCTCTGTGGCCAGGAAAGGCAGTCGAGGACGACCCTTCACCCACATGGGAGCAGGGACCCTGAACCCACATGGGAGACCCAGAAGAAGCTCCTGGCTCCTGGCTTTGGATCAGCTCAGCTTCAGCCATTGTGGCCATTTAGGAAGTGAATCAGAGGACAGATGATCTATTTTTATCTTTCTCTCTCCCTCTCTCTCTTCCTCTCTGTGTATCTGGCTTTCCAACAAAAATAAATAAATCTTTAAAAAAGGGAGAGGGGGACTCAGCGCAGAGGCCTAGAGGCTAAAGCCTCGCCTTGAACGCTCCGGGATCCCATATGGGCACCGGGTCTAATCCCGGCAGCTCTGTTTCCCATCTAGCTCCCTGCTTGTGGCCTGGGAAAGCAGTCAGGGTTGGTCCAAAGCTTTGGGATTCTGCACCTGCGTGGGAAACCTGGAGGAAGTTTCTGGCTTTGGATTGGCGCAACACCAGCCACTGCGGCCACTTGGGGAGTGAATCACTGAACGGAAGATCTTCCTCTCTGTCTCTCCTCCTCCTCTCTGTTTATCTGACTTCCCAATAAAAATAAATTTGAAAAAAAAAGTGACTGGTTTCCCTCCATACATCACAAATGCATTTCCTCTCTCACTAAGTATTTCAGCTGCCATGATGGCTGGCTATGTGGTACTATCATATTCCCTTTTCAAATCCTCACTCCTTCATTCTTTCTTTCATTTTGTATGTTGTTTACACAGTTGACAAGGATGGATGCATATGTGGACCACTGATTTAATTAGGGTGGGGGTGGTCGAAGCTTGGGGGAAGGTGGGTTAGGCAAATGCTTCCAATTTTCCTTTTCTTCCCTTTTCTCCTGTATCTGGCAGGCAAGGAGGGATGTACTGCCATAATGCTGGAAAGAAATGCCCGAGCCAGGCTGCAGCAACTCACTTGGCTTTTTGACGACCATGAGACCATGTCTGAAGGGCATGCTTTGATACAGGAAAGAATTACCTCAGTTTTCTCCAAGATACACACCTATAAGTCACTCTCAACTTAGTCATCAGAAGCCAGGAGTGCCAGCTGAGGGCACAGGGTACCGATCTGTGCCCAACACCAGGCAGAACCCTCTGGGATGTAGCCAAGCTCAGCTGGCATGTGGTTAGCTGTGGGCAGGGGCAGCTGCTTCCCTGCTTGAGTGGCCCAGAGCTGCTTAGTTTGCTGTCCTGGTTGGGGGTGCAGTTCAGCCCCTCCACGGATGCCCCAAGTTCCCGGGGGTCCTGCTCAGGAGTGAGTTTGGGAAGCTGAGCAACCGGTCACACAGCAGCTAAGGGTTACTAAGTGCCGTGCGCCCAGCTCTGCTCTCCGCACTCCATGCACAGTATCTGAAGGTATCCACACAATCCATGGCCTAGGCCATCCTCTCCAGCTTCCTGAGTTTACAGCTGAACAACAAATGCCAGGGTTACAAAGCAAGCAGCACAGTCAAAACTTGGATCCTGGACTTGATCACTGACAAAGTCACTGGAAAAAACAGGTCACAGTATCTTACAGCTCCCTCCAGCAAGAGGCGGAGTCTTCACTCTGCCTTTGAAATCTTGGCTTGACCACGTGATTTGCTTTGGCCAGCAGGTTGTAAACAAACAGAATGACTCACAAGCCTAACAGGGGGCTTGCATTTGGGCTACTGGAAAGCCCAAGACCAGCAGGGGAAGATTCAGCAAGGGTAGCTATCACATGGGGGCAGGATCCTGCCAATCCACAAAGCAGTAGGAAGTTAGCAAACTATTTATGCCTTGTTATATGCTACATAATAATTGGGGGGGGGGGGAGTGTAGGGCGTGGTACAGTGTTAAGCCAATGCTTGTGACACCTGCATTTCATATTGAAGCAGTGGTTCAAGTCCCAATTGCTTCACTTCCAATCTAGCTTCCCTGCGAATGCACCTAGAGAAACAGTGGAGGAGAGCCACAGTGCTCATGTTCCTGCCCCACATGGGAGACGCAGATGGAATTTCAGGCTCTAGACTTCAGCCTAGACCAGCTCAGCTCATTACAGCCATGTAAGGAATAAAGCAGCAGATGGATGATCTCTCTCTCTCTCTCTCTCTCTCTCAAACTCCTATTTTCAAATAAATATCTTCAAAAAAATCAATTTATGTTAAGAAAAAAAAATTGGGGCTGGCACAGTGGCATAGCAAGCTAACCGTCCTCCTTCAACACTGGCATCCCATATTGGCACCTGTTCATGCTCCGGCTACTCCACTTACAATCCAGCTCCCTATAAATGGTTTGGAAAAACAGTGGAGGGTGGCTCAAATCCCTGGGCCCCTGCACCTGAGAGAGAAGTTAGACTGGGTAGTAAGTAGTTAGAGTATTCTGGGTCTCCAAGTCATCATTTTTTTTTCTCAAATATAAAATGGTATTTTCCCCACCAGGGCACGTTTCTCCAAGACAAGTACATATTTTAACATATCAAGAACACACTTCCCCAAGAGACAAGGGCAACACTAACATACCAATTTCCCACCTGAAGCGTCAGCCCTATTCTACCTCTGGCCATTGCCAAGGGGGAGGACCTCAGACTGGTCTCTTCATCATTAGAAAGGGACCGAAGAAGTTGGCTGGTGACACCTCTCTGGGCCTTTGTCCAAGGGCCAGGTAGGTACTATGAAAACCAGGAATTCAGGGCCCAGTGCAATACTGTAATGGTTAAGGTCCTCGCCTTGAACGTGCCAGGATCCCATATGGGCGCTGGTTCTGATCCCTGCAGCTCCACTTCCCATCTAGCTCCCTGCTTGTGGCCTAGGAAAGCAGTTGAGGACGGCCCAAGGCCTTGGGACCCTGCACCCGTGTGGGAGACCTGGAAAGAAGTTCCTGGTTCTGGATCGGCTCAGCACCAGCCGTTGCGCTCACTTGGGGAGCGAATCATAGGATAGAAGATCTTCCTCTCTGTCTCTCCTCCTCTCTGTACATCTGCCTTTCCAATAAAATAAATAAATCTTTCAAAAACAACAACAAAACCAGGAATTCTCCTTTGTTTATGGAGAAACATCTTTGAGGTGAACCTTTAAAAGATGCTTTCCCCACCATTAATACAGATTTTTCCCTCTTTCCTCCTCCTGCCACTATGGCAGGAGATATGAGTCTTTTCTATCTCAAAACCCCCTCCCGTCACTAGGACAGGAGCTCCTTTTCTCAGCTTTTCTGATAAATCTTGCTTTAAAACTAAACTGTGTCTGCATGAAAATTCGAGACAAGAATTGAGGCTGCTGCTGTATTCGGGGTCAAAAATCCTACAAAACACCCACATGGGAGACCTGGGAAAAGTTTCTGGCTCATGGCTCCAGATCAGCTCCAGCCATTGTGGCCATTTATGGAGTGAACTATCAGATGAAGATCTCTCTCTGTCTCTCCTTCTCTCTATAAATCTGCTTTTCCAATAAAAATAAATAAACATTTAAAAAATAATAATAAAAAGTTGAGGCAGAGGAAAAAGCCTCTGTACTCTTTCCCAGGCTTCCTCAAGGACAGAATAAGAAATGAGTAGAAATTTCATTAGGAAACACTGTCTTTAGACCAGAAGCAGATTGTACTGGCAGCACAGAAGCCAGGAACAACCACAGGGAGACTAAGCCTCTGCTTGCAGTGCCAGCATCCCATATGGACTCTCTCCCATGCACCCCCTGTGTCAGGTTTCCACTTGCTGAGCTTCCTGCTTGGGGGCCCAGCGGTGCAGAGCACCATTCCACAGCCCAGGCCTCTCATCTCCTCACCCTGGCTGAGCTGAGCACCAAGGACAGGCCAGCCCAGACAAGCAATGCTTCCTGGGGCACACACCTTCTTCCCCTTCACAGCTGTGCCAGTGGAGAATTGCACCCAAGACATCTAAGTAGGGTCTGGCTCAAGAAGCCATTCTTCATGCCAAAGAGTAGTAATTGGTAAAACCAGAAAAGCAAGCCTGGGGGAGGCAGGGGCAGCATGGAGCAGGGGACGGAGTAGACCTCTTTCTCCACTGGGAATGGAAATAAAGCCAGAGTATACCATTGAACAGCACAGAACTCGGCCTACAGGAGGTGCTCGGTAAAGACACCAGCATGTCAAACCCGTGAGGAGGATGAAGAGAGTGGGATCTGAAGCCCAGGCCACCAAATGAACAAGAACTTGTACTAATGCCCAACAGGGTGTTTGTGATCAAAAGGCATTTACATCACAACCAAACACAAGACAAGAGAATGCCACAAACTCCGCATGTCAGCCAGAATTCCACACCCGCCCAGGGCTGCTCACCTCGGTGCATGATCTTGTGCTTCTCCCTCAGGTACGTCAGGCCCTTGATCACCTGCAGGGAGGACAGTGTGTGAGGCCGCGGAACACAAGCAGCAGCGTCTAGCATGCTCTAGATCTGCTTTCCCAGGGGCTGGGAAACAGCTTGGCTACCAGCACAATTTTGCCCTCCTATGTTATGTTTGTGTGTGCGTATAACCTGCTCTACCAAGCAGTCACCTTTTAACATGGTTGATAGAGAATATTTTCAAGTAAAATCAGCGATTATAAGTTTAATCAAGTCTGACACCACCACCCACGCATGCACGTCTGCCTCCCACACCTGAATGAGGATTCTGGATCTCTCGGTCCTACTTTCTCAAAACACAGACTGTAACACAAAGAAAGTCATTTTGCTTGCTCATACAAATGGGAGACACTATTACATAGATTTCACAGAGGGAACATGCTAATGATAAAGTCTTGTTCAAAGCTTCCACCTAACTTCTCCCTCCCTCCCACCTCACAAGCTTCCAGAGAGGGCCCTCAGAAGGAACAGCCCAGAGCATACTCACAGCAATGCTAACTTTCCCCAGAATCTGCTCAGGAATCCGTCCAGCTTTCTTGAGGACTTGATCCAAGGAACCACCATCCTAAGAACAAGAGCAGCCCATGAGTGACAACTCCAGCTCGTCTTCCAACTGCCAAGCTGCACAGGGAGAGCTGGACTCACAGACCCCCCTAGAAGGCCAGGGCCTCACACTGGCCTCGGCAACAGACATGAAACAGAATGACCATGAGCCACATGGAAGGAGGTGACACGGAATGAGCAGCTCAAATCATTTGGCTATCGCTGTACAAGTCTCTAATTCAGCGGTCATGAAAAGGCTTGTAGGGTGAGTGCTACAGCACAGCGGGGGAAATCCGTGCCTGGGACAGCTGAACCCATCTCCAACTTCGGGTCTGAGCCCCAGTTACTCCACACTTTAGATCCAGCTTCATGCTCATGTGCCTGAGAGGCAGCAGCTGATAACCCAAGGACTTGGCTCCTGTTACCCATGTGGGAGACCCGGCTGGGGTTCAAGGCTCCCTGCTTTGGCCTGGTGAAGGCCAGATGATATCTCCGTCCCTCCTTTTTTCTCTGTCACTCTGCTTTTAAAATAAATAATCAACTGTCTAAATCTGAATCTCAACTCTCCCACTATCTGGGAGACCTGAACCAAGTTACTCAACTGATAAAGTAAGGATGGTAATGAATAAGGCCATTCTTTTTTTTTTTTAAGATTTATTTTATTTTCATTGGAAAGTCAGATATACATAGAGGAGGAGAGACAGAGAGGAAGATCTTCCGTCCGATGGGTCATTCCCCAAGTGAGCGCAACGGCTGGTGATGTACCAATCCAAAGCCAGGAGTCAGGAACCTCTTCCGGGTATCCCACACGGGTGCAGGGTCTCAAGGCTCTGGGCTGTCCTCGACTGCCTTCCCAGGCCACAAGCAGGGAGCTGGATGGGAAGTGGAGCTGCCGGGACTAGAACTGGTGCCCATATGGGATCCCGGAGCATTCAAGGTGAGGACTTTAGTTGCTAGGCCACGCTGCCGGGCCCGAATAAGGCCGTTCTAATAGCAACAGGGCTACCACAGAATTAATCAAGCTAACAGAAATGAAGCACTTAGAAAAATGTGTAGCACGTAATAAATACTCAGGAACTATTAGCCACTTTATCATGAGCATCTAAGTCACAACTTGGTATAATTCTGACAAATCATGGTTAGTACAAAGCAAAACAGTTCATTCAGTCCACAAACCCTACCAAGCATCATGGATTGAGTTAGGTTCTACAAGGGCAGATACATGAATAAGAGCTGATAGCTGCTCCCAATAAACATATTAACTAACATAACAAAACAAAACAAAAAAACCCACAGAGTAAAAGCAGTGGACACAGAGTTAAGAGGGAATTCTAACTTCAGCTAGAAAGATGGCATTTGAACTAAACCTCCCTCAAAGGATGAGCATGACTTGCACACTTGGAAAGGGACAAAGCAAGAGGAGAAAGGAGTGGCAGGCCTCAGGGAGGACCACGGCAGAGCAGTACTGAACTGTTTAGTGCTCCCAGAGCCACATGCAGCCCCTGGCCCTATGGGTGTGTGGACTGCTGCAGTGAGGAGAAATCGAGCCAGGGAGAGCCACCTGAGGCCAGAGCCCCAGCCAGGAACCAGCACCTTACTGCCTGCAGGCAAGATGGGCTGCACCCCAGCTGAAAAAAAGGGACAAGACTAGCAAGGAGGTGATTCGGAGATAGCAACTGGTCGGAGAGGGGCCTGGGGAAGACCCCAGGAGGAAGGGATGCATGCTGTGAGGCCAGAACATGCACAGCTCCACACTTTAGTCTGTGAATGATTAGAAACCCTGCACTCAGAGAAGCCCAGTACTTCACAGCAGAAGCGGGGAGACCCCCATGGCCTCAGGAAGCCCGTGAGCACCAGCAACTTGAAATCACCCTTGCAGGCAGAGGGATCTCCTGCATACTCCAACTGACCTTCTAAATACCCTGTCTAGACTGAGCAGTTACAGCCCCATCTGCCACATATCCACCACCTCTGCATAAGGCACAGGGGCATAGAACAGTGCTCTCTACACAGATGGAATGTACTCCTCTGACCAGGACAACCAATATGCAAAGGCAGAGCAGTGAAAAGTCCTCCCCTGAAACCAAGCAGGCAACAACCACTGAATGAAGAGATGATGCTATGGGAAAGATGGATAAGGATGAGACTTGATTCTGGAATGACAGAGACGCCCTTAAGGTGGGCAAAACCCAGAGAAGCAGAGGTAGGTGTCCTCACACACCAGCCCGAATGTGGCAGCCATCAGTGCAACCTCAAGGAACACCATGCAAAGCAGTAAACGAAAAGGACAGAGCACAGCCCCACTGCTGTAAAAATAAATCACGTGTAAACTCACAAAAACAAAATCGCAATTGTCAACACAGCAACTGTCACGGGTTTCTACCCCATGATATTTCCATCCTTATGCTTTCCTACTCTTTACAGATTTTCTGCAATAGAATAAATGCTTCACTTTTCTAAATGATTCTAAAATTACTGAACTCATCTGCAGGAGTGGATAAACAACATCAATAAATCAATTAGCAGATACTAAGCACCCAGTTTGTGCCAAGACATTGTTAGGTAGACACAAAACCACTTTCTTTTGAGAAGAGATAAAAAAAAATAATTAATAATAGTAAATAAGAGTCTCATCCAAGGATATACTTTCCCAGGAGGTAATATTTCAATCAATGCTAAAACATTCTATGTGTATACAAAGAGTCTGGGCCAATTGATGTCTGATCACAGACACTGAGGGGAAGAAAACCTACATACCTGTGGATGCTAAAAGACAGGGTAATCCCACCTACCACACCAGCTGCCCTGCCACAGCACAGCTTTGGGGCATCACAAACCTGGTACAACTTCCTGGTGGGCAGGAGGCAACCAAGGCACACAGCGGAGTCTGGGTTGGCCTAGCCTTTCCTATGAGGCACAGACAGCCCCACACCTGCAGCACAGGTGCATGACGCCCCCTGAAACACAACAATTCTTCCAGAGCCCCTGGAAGAACCCTGCTCCAGGCTGAGGCCCAAGCAATCAAACAAATGTCACATTCTGGGCTGCCTTAACAAAACAGTCAGCCGCATGGCCAAGTCAGGACAAAACCACAGCCCAGTGGCTACACCTGAGTCAACAGCTCCTGGAACTAGCACAACACCCAGAGCTGTCCTTCACCCCTGGGAACAGGGACTCAGTGCAGAAAGTTCCACAAGATTTTTTCTGCCCCTGATGCAATACAGCTACTGTGCAGACAGGCTCTGCCTGGACCACTTTCCCAAACAGCCAGAGAAAACCACAAACCTAGATATGTACAGAGCCACTCTGTCCAAACTGGCTTCAGAGGAGACAGAAAGCTACACACCTGCAGTTCTCAGATCGCTTCCTCCACTCCATCATTGAACTTTATACCCCAACTAACTCAGACAGACTCCAGGGGCTGGGCAGAGGGCAGGCAGCCAACAGTCTACTGTCCTCAGCACTGGGTACAGCAAACATTTCTACTGCAGAAGAAGAGGCACTGGTCCCTTCCCTCATTCTCCCCTCGAGCTCTGAGCAGAGGGACAGCTTGGACGATGAAAGGGACAGTGCCAAGCAGCCCGCGGCGAACCCTACAGCGCTCTCCTGCTGCTTCGAGAACCTGCCAAGAACTTGCCGTCACCAACTACAGCTGCTGAATGCATGCTTATTTTTAGAAACCAATTATTAACAAAACCAGTGGTGCTTCTGTGAAAGTATTCCAGGGGAGGGACTCATGCTTGATGAAGAGAAGAGCTCAAAAGCTTTATTCCTCTCCCTGTATCAGCTCTCAACCCCAGGTCCCTGCTTGCTCAGTGCCTCCTCCCCAGGGGAGCAGGAAGCAACTTCTCTGAGGACAAAAGTATTTCTGCTCTGATTGGGGAACACCCTCGCCCTGGCCCATGTCACCTCACTCATACAGGACACTGCAAACATGGCCTGTTTCTAGGAAGGGCCAGGGCACACTGTACACACGACACAGGTCTACTTTAAAATGCATCCCTTGAAAGTGATCAGAACAATGTCTCCATGATACGCAGTTGTGCAAATACAGCGGCATCAGCTGCGGACATGGGCTGGCAGGTTTTCAGGTGGACACTGGATACTTGCTTCCACTTTGTGCACACTTGAAAACGTTCACACCGAAGGGCTGCATCAAGCACAGGCAGCAGTGAATGCCAGGCAAAGGCTGTGACACAGAGCAGCTCAGAGCCCCGGAGGAGTGTGCTGTGGGGTAGAGCTCCCTACGGGACACCACCTATCAGTGCTGAAGGCGAGGCGAGGCAGCAAGCCCGAAAACAGTGGCAGGCAGCGGCTGGAGTTTTCCCACCCATGGGGACAGCCCATGTAGGAGCTCAAGGAACAGATAAGTGGTCAGAGTGCCCAGAGATGGAAGTGAAAACTACCCTCAGTTGCACGGACTTTGAGCTATGGCTACTTCTGACACAGTCCTGCTGGGTCCCTCCAGCAGCTGGGAGCCTCTGCTCTCATACTCCCAGACTGTCCCAGCTGCCCTTAGGAGCCAGGACTGCCGAGACAGAGCCCCCCAGTACTGACTCTAAGACACAACTCTTCCCTTGGGCTCCAGGCCATAGTGGGCCTTTCCCCATCCTGGCCACCATCCGTCATTCAGCACACACCGCATTGCCCCCATCAATACTGCATTGCACTCCCAGGTTCTGGCCAGTTTTCCAAGATCAAGCTCTCCAGGGTAATCCTGGAGATGGCTGCAGTTTTGGTGCCTTGGTTGGGAGAACATCTCACTGCCCCCTCTGAGAGCATGGGCAAGCAGCCCCTTCCCATCCTTCATCATCTTCTGGGAGGAAGGCCTGGGGAAAGGGAACATGGCACTTCATAAAGGATGTGACCAATGGTTGTGGATCTGGAGTGAAAGAGGACCCCAGGATGCAAGCCCCCTCAGGATTGCACAACATGCCAGTGTGAGACAAACAGAAGCATTTGCCTCATCTCAGCGGGTTCTCAAACAGCAGGCCACCAGCAACAGCGGAGCCCAGGGCTAACCTCTGAAGCACGGGCCCTGGTGTCCAACCATGCTGGGCTACAGATGGCCTCCTGGTCACACTGCTGAAAGGAGAATGCTGGATGGCACAGACCTTGGAGCTCACTCTTGACAGAAGCACAGAAGATTCCTTCTGGCAGCAAAAGGCAGAGCAAACTCCCACCAGAGCTCAGCAACACTTACCTCCACACTGCCAGCCCTCACCTGAGAGATGCTGGCACACAGCAAAGATTTCTCTGTCTCTCTACTTTCCAAATAATTCTTTACAAGAAAAAGCTCTCTGAAGGTAGGGGCTGTTTTATTTACCTTCATAACCAAGACTTTGGACCTGGCTCACTGCGCTGCCTACAGTGACTGGATTTTCAAACTCATCCACCAGGTTTGCCCCACCAGAACAGGGCACTAGCAAATGCGCTCCAAGCACACCCTCAGGGGCACATGCAGGTCCCGTCCTCTTGTGAACATTCAAGTTCACAAGCTTCCCCAACACTCCCGACTACAGCCAGCTAGGACCAAGCCAGAGGCCGGATCCCTCCCCTGGCAGGCCCCGTACCATGTGCTCCATGCATATGCTGATCTCGCCATCACTGTAGAAGGCCCCGTAGAAGCCCACGATGTAAGGCGAGTTGCACTCGTGCAGGACCTGCAGCTCCCGTATGATCTGGTTGCGGATGGCCGGCTTGATCTCCAGGTGAATGAGCTGGGGAAGAGGTCATAAATGGGTGGACGGTGAATGCAGGGGAGCCAGAAGTCTTTCTTCAAACATCTCAAGTCGTCAAAAGAGGAGACAAATTTTAACACATAAGTTGCTGCTCAAAGCCCTGAGTATCCAGACACCAAGGCCAGCGCTGGCACTGGTTCCTGCTAGGAGCCACACTGAGGAGAACACCAGGCCTGGCTCTCCTGAGCACAGGGGCAGATGGGAGGAGTGGACAAGAAGGGAAGGAACACTGGCCATAAGGACACAGTTCACACACACGGGCTGGGGGACAGAAAGGCTCAAGAACTGGGGTATGATTCCCTGAGCTGCCTGGCAGTCGCCCCTGGACTTCAGGAGCCTGAAGTGGCTGAAATTCACCGAAGGTCTCAGGTGCTACCTAATCTCCAGACACTGTCCCTTGCTCCAGCTGCAAGAAGGTGTCAGGCCATAATGTGGTTACCTAGCAAGGTAAAGTCTCTACAAAATGGCATGGGCAGTGAGGACAGGGGACGGTGGTCATCAGCATGGACAACAGCAGCTGGGGAGTCAGATATGAGGCAGTCCTGGGAGATGGATGGGCAGAAGGAACAGCAGGGACAGGCAGAAACAAAGGGACAAGAATGGGTGTGATGCTGGAGTCAGGGACAAGCCTGAAGAGGTGGGCTGAGGGTAGAAAAGAGGGGATGTCCAGCTGGAAGGCTGCACACCACAGTGGGAGGTACAGGCACTGCACTGGTGAGGCTGGGGCCAGGGAGCAGAGCGGCAACTGGTACTTGGTGCTGTGTGTGCCAATGGGGCTGAGAGATCCAAAGCAGCTTCGCTGGCACTTGGTAACTGACACACAGGCCCCCCGGCACCCTCTCCTGGGCACACAGACAGCTGACGAAAGGTCACTTCCCTCCCAGACTGAGAATGATGACTAATACATTAACACGGCCATTAGTGTGTTTATTCATAATCTGAGAGATAACAGGAGTTCAAAATGTATAGCTCAAAGTTCCTGGGTAAGAAGGATTGGTCCCAGCCTCCAGCTCTCCCAGGTGATCATTCCCTCATCTTCCCATCGAGACAAACTCACCTTCCTGGCCATGACCAGGCCGGACGGCTTGTGGGAGACCTTGAAGACCACGCCACCGTTGCCGGCCCCCAACTCACTGATCTTTTCAAAGTCATCGTCCTTCAGCTCTCCCACCTTCTGCTTCTGGGTGAGAAAGGCCTCAAGTCGCTTCCGCTGCTGCTCGTCCAGCTCCAGCTCCTCCAGCTTCTTCTGCAAGGCCTCCAGATTGGTCCTGCCCAAGGAGGCAGCACATCTCAGCACCAGCACCCCTGCCCCAGGACCCCGGCTGTCCCCGTGAGTCACCCAGCACACTTTCCCACTCAGGTCTTTAGCGCCCCTGTGTCAAATGAAGGAACTACGTTCCTCTCAACACGTTACAAAGTCATGAGAGAAACCAAAGAATCTACAAAACTCCAGAATGAGCCACTTGATTTGTCTTAAAAGTCCCACTTCTCCTGTTGGTTTTTACTGGTAAGCTCACACCATACACATAGTGAAATCCCCCAAACCCACTGAGCTAAAACCAAACCAGCTCTGAGCTAAAACACAACTGCAGAAATGTTCACTTCCGATGTGATCAAGTTCAGGCACCAGATTAATCAAGACAACCACAGCCAGGAATCAGACAAATGATATGCCTGTGGGAATGAGGGCTGGAACAGGCCAGACCACAGGCACCAACACAGTCAGATAGATAGAGGTGGTACGTTCTCAAGTTCCACAGCACAGCAGGTGACTGCATCACATACTGACTGGAGGAAGGAGCAGGCAGGGCCCCTACTGTGTTCTCTACAAAAATGTATTTAGTTTTAGGAGCTGGCCACTTGGTACCAGCTTGGTACAGCTGCATCCCACATCAGAGTGAATGACTGGGTCAAGTCCTGCCTGCTCCACTTCCAATCCAGCTTCCTGCTGCTGCACATTTCCTCAGAAGCAGCAAATAAAGACTCAAGCACCTGCACCCTTACCATTGACATAGAGACCCAAAGGAAGTGCTGGGCTCCTGCTCTGGCTTGACTTAGCTGGGCCACAAAGCACTTAACAAGTCACAGGCACTGTGGAGTCCTGAGCTGCTCATTACTAGCTCTGTGGCCATGGATAGATCATGTAACCTTGTCACATCTCAGCCTTCTCACCAGTGAAAGAGTAACAACCCAAAGTTTACAGGGAGAGGATCAAAACAAAACAAACAGGAAAAATCCACAATTGATGTATTGCTTTACTAATGCTGATGGGGGAGGAAGGGAACTGGGGAAAGGCAGGGCAGCACCAGCCCAATCCTTCCTTTTTAATTGAATGACTCCTAGAGCACTGGCCAAGTTTTCAGGAATCCTTTTAAGGAAACCCAAGACCGTGTGAAGGCGAAATGAAGACCTTAGGATAGCAGTGGCTTTCAGTTCTCATTAAAAAGCAATCAATAACATCAATAATACAAGTGGTGGTCAGTGCTGCTTCCTCTTGGAGCCGGAGTCACCCAGACAAGGTGAAATGCTGCAAGCCAAGGAGGAAAGGAAGGAGGGGCCCCCTCAAAAACTGCCATTGTTCAGAGGGCTGGAACCTGCCTCCTTCTTCGCCTTCTAGTTAACTGAAATGACACTCTGGGAGCTCGGGCAGCACAGCCCATCTCCACTACACGCACAGCTCGCACTCCAGGAACTCTTGTCACATTCTGCACAGCACAGCACATGGCTATGGCTGACAGTAAACACACAGTCACAGAGATACAAGATTATGGGTTTACAATGGAGCACAAGAGAAAAAAACAAGGCTTGTCATGTGCACCCTGCCAGCACTAGGCAGCACAATGAGAAGGGTGGGTAAAGGCGGTCCTGAGAGCCAGAGCCCCTCCTTCCCACAAGCTCCACCATCTGCTCAACCACATCAGGCACCCACAGCTGGAATCTGCCACATGGGGCTAAGTGGCACAAATCAATAAGTTGCACAGAACGCAACGTAAGGAGAGATCTGATGTAGTCCTGGAGAAGGGGGACCTGAGGCCCAGAAGGAACAACATGCTACGGCTCCTGGCAAGCAATCTCTTAGTCCTCCAACACAGGGTCCTTTCCAGGGTCCACACTGGCTCCTCCAAGCTTTGAACTTGAAGGCTGGCCCAAGAAACCATTGAAGAAGAAAATAGAGGTAAGGCTCTATCAAAAGAAGGGGTTCTTTAACCTACCATACCCAAAAGAATTGGGGTATCCCTGCGTACAAGGCACCCCCTTGGCTGCTGCCAGCTCTGGCGGGGGATGGGAGCAGCAAGCCTCTATAATCACATTGGGAGAAGAGAAAGGGCCAGGCCTACCTGGTAGGTAGCATCTGACCCAGGGAGAATGCTACCGGACAGGAAACAAGCCAGGCAGTATGGAAGAGAGAGGCAAGGAGAGGCAGAGACCCAAGCCAACAGACTGGCCACAGATCCTGACTCACACACTTTGCCACTCCCCAGGTGTAGGATCACAGATGGGTCACTTTCCCCAGTTTCCACACATATAAAAGACATACAAGGGAAGTCACCCAAGTCTCCCTGAAGCCTGAGTTTGCCAACATGGCAGATGGGAATGGGGGCAGGTGCAGAAACAGGCAATGACAAGTTCAAGTCCAGGAGCTGAGTGGCTGCACGAGGGGGTAAGGAGAACAAAGTCAAGCATGGGCATCAGGGTCTCAGCAGTCAAACCCATGAAGTGAGGACTGCAGGGTGGAGTACCAGAGCAGTGAAGGAGAATGGACCTGGAGAGGGAAGGCAGAGGGGTCCAAGGCTCAGCTCATCAACTCCTGGATTCCATCCACCTGGGTGAGGGAGTGGGAACTGCAGGTGCACTGACCAGGGCCCGCTGGGACAACACGGGGAGGCAGGTGACCTGCACCCTCCCACTCCCCACCCTGCAGATTACTCCAGGAGGCGCGGTGCAGCAGTGCAGCTACCCAGGCAATAGAAGTCCAGGACTGTGCATTAGGGCCCTGAGAAAGAAACCAAACACAACAGACTAGCTCATGCCATCTACATCAACTTTCAAAAAGGGCAAAACTAACCTATGCCACTAAGCTAGGAAACGGGCAGAAACCAGGGACACTTTGTAATGGTGAACTTTATATGGCATCGCAGTGCCAGGATACCAGGTCAAAACACTGCTCAGCGTGTTTTTTTTTTTTTAAGAAAAAAATTATTTTTGTTGGAAAGACAGATCAGATTTATGCAAATTAGGAAAGACAGAGAGAAAGAACTTTCATTTGCTGGTTCACTTAACAAATGGCTGCGATGGCCAGAGCTGAACCGATCCAAAGCCAGGAGTCAGGAGTTTCTTCCCTACACGGGGGCACCTTCCCAAGGCTTTGGGTCATTCTTCACCACTTTTCCAGACCATAACCAGGGAGCTGAATGGGGAATGGAGCAGCCAGGACGCAAACTGGTGCCCATAAGGGACCCTGGCGCTTGCAAGGCGAGGATTTAGCCATCATGCCAGGCCCTGTTCTGGGTATTTTTGTGCAGCATTCATGGCTTGAGAAGCAGGGGTAGGAAACAAGATTAATGTCTATGCTGGTGAACTGTGGCTGAAGTGGATGACTCCCCGCCACCCCATGATGTGGGTGGGCCTCTGCCAAGCAGCTGAAGGCCTGAACAGACACAGACTGCTCTCCACAGGGGGAGGGAGATGCCGACTCCTCTGGACTGCACTCCAGCCTGCTGGTCTACCTGCAGACTCAAGGCTTTCCATGTCCCATGACGTTGTGAGCCAATTCCTTATTCAATCCCTCCCCCTCTGTCCCTCTCAATACACTCACTCTCTCTACATACACACACACACACACACATACTCACTCTCTCTATCTCAGTTCTCCCTGGTCACAGACCCCTGTCTAACATAAGGAATCCCAGGGTGCTGGGAAGGGCAGGCCTGAGTGCCAGTGACACGGTGCATTCAGTTTCTGAAACTCCATCAAGTTGTGTGCTTCCCTCTCATTTAATGTCTACAACTGGGGCCAGCATAGTGGCGTAGTGGATAAAGTTGCCTCCTGCAGCACTGGCATCTCATATGGGCACTAGTTCCAGGCTCAACTGCTCCAATTCCCATCCAGCTTCCTGCCTGGTGAAAATAACAGAAGATGATCCAAGTGCTTGGGCTCCTCCATCCGTGCTGGGGACCCAGCTGAAGCTCTTGGCTTCAAGCACGGCCCAGCCCTAGCCCTTGCAGCCATCTAAGGAATGGCCCAGCAACAACAGAGCACGCTTTCTCTAACTTTGCATATCAAATAAGTAAATCTTAAAAAAAAAAAAAATGGATACAATCTCTACAACCACCCCTTACCTATATGCACATCTGGACTTAACCTACCCCAGCTTCTAGATTCATCTCACTCTTTCACCAATGGCCACAACGCACACATTCTCAGAAGAGACATGGAAGACAATCTACTCTTAAAGGAAAGGCAAGAATGGGGTAACTGTGGAGGGCAGGAAGTAATAACCAATGCTAATCTGGAACAGCTGACTTCCCACATCCACCATGGCCCCAAGCGTGGGGCTAGGTGCTGCCTCCAGGAAGGACAGCTGCGAGGCTTTCCCACCTACACATCTGTCAGCAAGTGGAGGAGAGCAGGCACTCAGGGCATGATGCGCATGGAGCAACCAGCACTGGGTAAAAATAAATCCCTGTTGAAGTCAGTGCCTCCTAAAGCACGGGAGAGGAAGGGCTGCGCCAAAGAATGCTTCCCACGAAGGACTCAGAGCCCAAACCTTGCACAAGATGTAGCTTGGGACACCCATTGCCTGTGTGGGACCTTGGTTCAAGTCCCAGCTCTATTCCAATTCTGGCTTCCTGCTAATGCACACCCTGGCAGGCAGCAGGGCATGGCTCCTCCAGGAATCAGGTAGGAGATACGAAAGGATGAGCTCCAGGCCCTTGCTTCAGTATGACCCAGCATGGGTTATGGCAGGAGTTTGGGACGTAAACCATGAGACCAGTGCCATAGTTGAATAGACTAAGCCTCCACCTGAGAGGCTGGCATCCCATATGGGCACTGATTCAAGTCCAGGATATTCTACTTCCCATCCGGCTCCCCACTTATGGCCAGGGAAAGAAGCAAAGGATGCCCCCAAAGACTTGAGTCCCTGAGATCACTTGGGAGACTCAGAAGAAACTTCTGGCTTCGGACTAGCCCAGTTCAGATCACTGCGACCATTTGGGGAGCAAACCAGCAGCTGAAAGAACTCTGTCTCTCTTTTGAAAAGAAAAG